TTGATCATGAAAGTAGACTACAAAGCTCAGCCATGAGTTAGGGATTGGTGGAAGTTTTTGACAGTAAGAAGGGCATCACTGACATTGATAAATATCTACTGAGAATAGACTGTGTGTCAGGCATTAATCTAGGTGCTTGGGATAAAGCAGGGAACTGTGGAGACAAAAATGCCTGTCCTCGTGGGGATTACATCCTAGGAAAAGGCAACAGACAAGAACAACATAAATCAGTAAAAATATATAGTGAGTAGATACTAATGGTTGGCAGGGGAAGGTTATAATTTAAATGATAAGTTATGGAAGACTTCATTGAGAGGTGAAGGGGCAAGTATATCTTTTGAAGAGGATTCCAGGAAGAGAAAACTGCAAAGAAAAGAGAGAGAGAATGAGAGAGAGAGAGAGAGTGCGCATGAGAGGGGGGAGGGTCAGAGGGAGAAGCAGACGCCCTGCTGAGCAGGGAGCCCAGATGCAGGACTCGATCCTGGGACTGAGCTGAAGGCAGTTGCTTAACTAATGACCAGTCAGGCACCCCCAAAGATTATTTTCCAAGTTAAGGCTCTGACTAGTATGTCTGAGGAAAATCAAGGGAGCCAGTGTGGCTGGAATTGAAGGAACAAGAGGAAAAAAAATAAGAGGGAGGTCAGAGAAGTAAGGGCGAGATGGCAGTGGGCTTTTTGGGCTGTCCTACGGGCTCTGGATTTTACCTTGAGGGACAGGTGCAACACTGACATAAATCAGAAGATAGGATCTGACTTCTTCAGGCTGCTATTTTGAGAAGGGGCTTCAGGGGACAAAAGAGCAGAAGCAGGAGAGGTCTCCAAGGTTTAGGTAACTAAGCTAAAAAATCAGAGCAGCATTTCCAAAGAGAATGTACTATAAGGACTAGACATAACTCTGATTGAGTCAACTAAACCATTTCTAGGATAAGCCCTTGGAGCAAAACTTCAGAAAACTTTCTGAAAGTATTTTTAAGATCGTTTATCCCATAAAATGTACTAACCCTTAAGTGTTGAGGTTTGACAGTTATAAAATTACTGAGTTGTTTTTTTTTTTCATATTCACCCTGAGACAGCAATGATTTGCATCAGAGAAACCCTTTGATTTTAGTATTTTCTCCCTGGACAGTTTTGCATAATTTTTATGTGGCTTCCTTGATAAACCCACTAAAACTATTTTCCATCCATAGTTTTGCATAATCTGCATAATAAGGAAATCCTGAGGAAGAACTAGGAACTGGGCAATTCAGCAAGATCACAGAAACCATGTGTTGGGAGCTGCTTGTCAGCAAATGCTGCTAGAGATTCTGTAAAGATCAGGACAAATCTTGCAGATAAGGGCAAAATAACTGTCTTTGGCAAGATTTTGTACAGGCTGCATATTTCTTTGTGGGGTCATTGCTACTTCTAAAGAATCCATCTAGAATTATTATTTTGGAACACAACTTTCTATGTGCCGCCATACTTCCTGTCTCCCTGTGCAGAGTTCCCCAAAATACTCCTCTTCCTATTTTTTGCCCTGTTGAGGGGGCAGTACAGATTATAGGGGACTTTATGGCATTGGATGATGGGAAGCTAGCAAGATATTCTACTTACCTTTGCTGCACAACAAATTACCCTAAAACTTAGTAGCTTAAAACAACTACTCTCTTTTGCTCATAATTTTGTGGGTCAGGAATTCTGGAAGAGATTGGGATGGTGGTTCTCATAGAACTTCTGTCATCTGAGGGCTCAGACTGTATATCCGAGGTGGCTCACTCAAATGGCTGTCAGCTGATGCTGTCAGCTGGGCTATCAACGCAAGCACCTGTAAGTGGCCTCTTCATGTTGTCTGCACTTCCTCACAATATTGCCGCCTCAGCGCAGTCAGATTCTTACAAGGCGGTTCAAGGCTCCAACTAGGAGTGGTCCAGCATGTAACATGGAAGCTGCACCATTTTTTCTTTTAATCTTTGGATGCCATGCAGTATAATTTCGATCACATTCTACTGGTTATAAGTTAGTTATAAGTGCACTCGGATTCAAGAAGAGGGGACACATACCCTACTGTCTGATGAGAGGAATGTCAGTGTCCGATTGTAGAGGAACACGTGGCATAGGAGATGTCGTTAGGGCCGTATTTGGAAAAAGAAATCTCCTACACCTGGTTAGTAAAAACAGATTGTGTGACGTCACTGTAAAGTGTACAGGTCTCACCAGCCTGTGGAGACAAAGAAAGGAAGCAGAAACTGCAGAATGTTTACATTCTCGCATTCACAAGAGCAAAAGGATCCAAGAAAACAGTGGGGGTTTCATCAAGTCAGGGTAAACTTTCAACAACGTCTTTATTCTGCATTCTACACTCCAGGTTCCCTTGCTGTGATGCTCTCATAGTAATTCATTCATCATTTCACAAACCTTTATTGAATGCCCAATACATGTGCCAGGGACTATTCTAGGCTCTTGGTGCCTACCAGTAAATAAATGTAACAAAAAGCCCTACCCTCATGGAGAATGTATTCTAGTGCAGTCATGATATTAAAATAAGCAATACTGCTTGCAAATTAAGTAAATGGCAATGGGAGGCAAGGCCTCATGTGGTCTAAAGAGCTAGCTCCACCCTGAAGGATGCTCTGGACTGAAGTTTTGCCAGGTGATTGTGCAACAGACCAAATGGTAGGGTCTTCAGGAAAGACATTTATAGGGAAAAGGGTTAATTTGTCCTATGAGTTTAAGAGGGCTTCTGGATACTGCTAACTTCTTGCTTCTCCCAAATCATGCTGTTTCACATCCATCTGGTGACCTCTGTTCTACTTGTTGGCATCACTGTCCAAAACCCCTAGGAGCCCCAATAATTCACCACACCCTGTATACACACCCTTTGTCATATACTTTGCAGTTCCATAAAGACACCCTGCATTTTTCATGTGATTTACCAATACATTAAGGCAGGTAAAAATGTGTCAGCTTTAAGACCAGACCTAAAGAAGTCTTGCACGTTTTCACCTGGGCTCTTACCCCTCTGCCACTGTCATGAGGGCATGCTAGGGTTGCCTGGAGTGATGAGAGACATGTGAACTAGAGCCCAGTTGCACCAATCTCCCCAAGCAACAGCCAGCCCACCCCCAGATACATGAATGAGCCCAGCCAAGATCCCAGATGCATGAGCAATAAACTTATTGTAACAGGCTACAAAATTTTGTGGTTGCTTGCTATGCAGCATTTTGGGGCAACAGAGGGGGTGACATAACTGGGAAAGGGCAGAGCACCTTCTCTTGGAGACCTGCTTACTGGTCTTTTTTTTTTTTTTTTTTTTAAGTCTGTGAGCACAAGGCCCTGTCATTGCTACTGGTGCTACCCTCGTGCTGGGATTTGTGAAAGGATAATCGAAGTCAAAATTAACAGAGTTGCCTCTAGATTCATGACAAGGGGGAGGTGCGGAGCAATGAAGTGGAATAAGGCTTCATTCCTGCCTGTGAAAGTTTGCATTTTAGGTCTCCTTGTTGGAAGGGACAAAAGTCACTCCTAATGTTTACCACGATTGAGGCATGAGGAAAAAGGCCCAAGAAGAAGCGAACCATTCCAGTTGCTTCTTTGATACCCTTAACCCATCAAGCTCCCTGCCTAAAAGTGGACTTAGCTTTTTTATTTTTATAATTCAAAATAAACCTGTTTTGGCAGCGTTATAGGAGGATGGAGGCCACAGCATCCACTATGTGGATGTGTCAGTCCTGGCAGTAATCCTGGCAAACAGAGCTCGTTTTCCAGAATGCATCGAGCGAGGACAGAGGGGCAGGCTATTTAATCTCTGCTTCCAAATCATTGTGACAATTACCACTTTTGAGGAAAAAACTGCCTCCAAACAAAACCGGCCCTTCAAGTGGAGCATTTGTTCTCCCCACCAAGTGTCAGAAACTTTTCCAAGAGCCACTTATTTTTTTGTGTCTCGCACAGTCCCTATCAAAATGCAAATACCCCTGGGAGAGGTGACCTCTTTGGCCTTCACTTGTCAACACTTTGGGAATGGAAGAATTATTTTACTAAAACAGCTGAACAAAAGAAAGGCAACTTGTTTGTGTAATTGTTCATTTTCTGTCTTTCCCAGTGGACTGCACGCTCCAAGAGGTCTAGGACCGTGCCTACTTTGTTTATCCATCTATTTCCAGAGTCCAGGACATATAGGAGACCCTCAATAACGCCTGCAAAAGGAAAGCGGAAGGGAACAGGAGGGGTAAGGAAGGGAGGAAAGAGGTTAACTAAGGACCCGCAGAAAAGGGTAAAAACGCCGAAAATTCTCACGCAGCATTTGCCCTTATATTAACTAGTTAATGACGTCAACATATTTACTAGGCTCTTACTATGCATGCATGGGAGGGAGGGGTCTCTAGAGTAGGAGAAAGACAGAACCCCCCACCCTCTTACCTTAACCTGGTGTGGTTCTTTGAATTTTTACTCCTGTGTACTCCAAGAAAGGCAACACGACAACCAAGGCCAAGAAAATTTCCCTACGGGGCCTTCCACCGATTCCATGCTTGACACGTGATGTACTCAAAGCCCTCAGCCTTTGGGATTGAAACATTCAGAATGAGAATTCCAAAGTGACCAAGATGACAAGTTTCAGGAGGGCGCTCCGTTTTTTCCTAGTTTCCCACCTCCCACCCCCAGCTCAGTGGCTTCTCAACCTTTAATGTGCACGTGAATCACCTGGGGATCTTGTTAAATATGCTGATTTTGATTCGATAGGTTTGGGGCGAAGTCTGAGCTGCTGCGTTTTTAACACGCTCCCAGGTGATGCTGATCGGCTGACTCGAGGACCACACTTTGAGTGTACTAGGGACTCGAGGTCTTCACTTCCAGCGCCAGGTGTGTGTGTGCCCATGCTCAGCTTTCCGGATCGGTGTCCCGCACGTCCCCGGCCTTCCGCCGGGAAGGGAGGAGCCGGGGGCGGAGCGGGAGGAGTGGCGCGGGCCCCGAGTGGGTCCTGCCGGAGATCACCTCGGCCCCTTGGAGAGGCGGCCGAGCTGCGGCGGCGCAGGAGGGGGCGGGTTCGGCGAGGGCGCGGCCTCTCGGAGGGGGGAGTACGACGCGCATCCCCCGCGCCCGCCCGGGCCCCTCGGGAGCTTCGCGGCAGCCCGGTGCCCCACTTGGCAATCCGCTCCGTGCTTCTTCCTCGCGCCCGCCTCCTCTAGTCACCTCCCGTCTCAGCCTCCCTGCTCCATCCCCGCCGCATCAACCGCCAGCCGAGCGCCTCCGCGAGCGAGAGGTGGTGCGCGGGGCTGCAGGGCGCGCCCTCCAGCGGACCCCGGCCCGGCATTGGGGGGCACGGGCAGCAGCATGGACACCAAGCGCTGCTTCGCCAACCGCTTCGATGACTACCAGGGCAGTCTGCTGGCGGGCCAGTGCGAGGAGGCGGTGGCGCCCTTGGTCACCGCCACCATCGAGCGCATCCTTCAGGAGCTGCCCCCGCTCGGGGACGGTGCTGAGGCCCGGGGGGCGGCGGCCGCGGCCAGCAGCTGCCAAGGCGGGCTGTACGGCGGCGTGGCCGGGGTGGCCTACATGCTCTACCACGTCTCGCAGAGCCCGCTCTTTGCCGGGGCCCGGGAGCGCTACCTGCGCTCGGCCAAGCGCCTCATTGACGCGTGCGCCCGCGCCGAGGAGTGGGGCGAGCCGGACGCCGACACCCGCGCTGCCTTCTTGCTCGGGGGAGCGGGCGTGTACGCGGTGGCCACGCTCGTGTACCACGCCCTGGGCCGGTCCGACTACGTGCAGCCGCTCGGCAAGTTCCGGGCTCTGTGCGCCGTCTGCGCGCCGGTCTCCTTCCTGGAGTGCGGCTCGGACGAGCTGTTCGTGGGCCGCGCGGGCTACCTGTGCGCCGCGCTGGTGCTCAAGCAGAAACTCGCCCAGGAGGTAAGAGGCAGCCCCGGCCGCGGGGGGGCGCTCGCCGCCTGCCCGGCCCTTCCCGGGACTCCCGGCTGCGGGAGCAGCGCCCCCGGCTCTTCTCTTTCTCTTTGTTACTCTGTCTGGCGCTGTCGTTTCCTCAGTCTCCAGAGGTTCACCTCCTGTTTTTGTCCGTCTTCCCTCCTCTCTTTTTCAGTCTCTCATTTGTTGGGGATTCCCCGTCTTTGCGCTTTGTTTTACACCGAACGTGGCATCTCCCCAGATGCGCCTCTGCCCAACAGCTTCCTGGAGGCCCTTTCAAGTGAGGGAGGAAAAAAAAAAAAACTCGAAAATGAAAGGGATTTCCCTTCCTTTGACCCTCCTGTCAAAAAGCTGAAGCACCCTCGAATGTTAAGAGTATTGGAAGTTTGGGGGGCTGGTTAGGCTATCATTGTTTCCATCGCTAACGTGGAGGTAAATGGCTTTGGCGACCGCCCCCCCCCCGCGCGCGCGCGGGCGCGCGCCTCGGTCTGTAAACCAGAATTACTGCCCAGCTGCGAGTCTGATGTGCTGACTGTGGTTGCTTACTCTTAAGTTCATCTCAGGGCTCTTTTAAAATGCCTATCTGATGGGGGTGTCCTCTTTTAAATGCATAAATGTAGACAGAAGTTTACCCCATTGGAATCGAATGTGCAGTTTTCATTCTAAAACGCGTAGATAGGATTGCCTAGACGACGGCGTGCTTAATAGGGCAGGTTTTCTTAATGAATAGCTTTCCAGTGGCTCCTTGAAGTGAATTGGATTTCACAACTACATGTGGGTTTGGTTGTTTCTTTTTTTTTCCTGGATTCACTTTGAATACAGCATGTGACTATTAGAAGAGAATGTGCCAGTTCCTGTGGAGTAGGGGAAAAAAAAAAATCCTCCAAAGGATCATAGTAACTAGAACTGAAAGCGAGGCATTTTCATTCATAACCCAGTGGAGCCAAATATTGTTCTAGGGAGGAAGTGACACATTGAACATGCCTTTATTTGGGTGAAAGAGGCGTTTGAAGAAAAATTAAAGGTACACAGTATTTTTAAAGTGTAATTAACTTAGATAACTTCTAAGATAACAGAGGCAGACTTGATTTTTTTTATTTATAGCAGGTGAGGTTGAGCCAAGTGAGAAAAACATCACTAAAGACTGCACTGTGTTAGAACGGCAGCAAAGATCTGTGTGACAAAGTTGTCTTGAAATAGTTCACTCTGCTTCTGAGTCAGTTATCTGCTAGCAGTTCCCCAAGGGCCCTTCCAGTTGTATAAAACCCTTTAGAAGGCCACAGGGCTATTTACATATCATTTGCATTACATTTGCATCTGCTCCTCAGACCTTGCTGTCTGGTGGTAGGCAATTTTCAAATTCGGGGGTTCCCCCCCCCCCGCTTTCCCTTTTTGTGCCTTGGGGCCTTCTCTCCAGAATAGAGTGGCAAAGAGTGGGAGACCCATCAGGTCATACAAGTGGAAACAGGCCTCAAGGACTCGTTGCCCCAAAACTGGTGGCCCAGGGCCAGCGGGCAACGCTGATCCAAAAAGACATTTATTAAGACCTCTCTGCTGCCCTCCTGCCAAACCAATTCTGTCTTTTAATACTAATCCAATTTGAGGTGCTTTGGCCCCTACTCCCAGGAGACAGAACAAGTTCTGAGGGTTAAACCGCTGCCCCCCCCCCAAAAAAACAGCTCTTAACCTGAGCAAATAAGCTAGTCTCAGTGCCAGCCTCAGCTGCAGTTATCTGAGAAATTCAGGCTTGAAAAGTGCAGGGCAGGGGCTAAGCACGCCTGGCTGGAAGCCCTTATGAGGGGAAAATAAGTCTTCTGCACCATCCCCACTCCCGCATCCTAGCCAGCATATGGCTTTGCCCTCAGTAGATGATCCATAAATGTTGATTAAATTGAGTTGCCAACTTCTGTCATTTCTCTATAAATAATCTGTTATTGTGTCCTGGGTTTCTTTCCTTCCAATGTCATTTATATTTACTTTCCTCTGGCAATTCCCTCAGTTATCACCCTAGTCTAGATCCTCCCCGCACTACTTGGCTCAGCTTTGGCACCTAGTAAATCAATGAATGAATGAATCCCCATTTACTGGGATTAGTGCAATATACTCAGCTGGATTCTCTCAAGACATTACACTTATCTCTTAGAAACCAATCTTAAAAGCACTTCATTATGCCATTTCCCCACTCAGCATCCTGCAGTGGCTCCCTATTACCTTTCCTCCAGTGACTTCTCATCTTTCTCAGAGCTTTAAAATGGCCGAGAAGGCCCCACATGATTTGGCCCCCCTGCATACCTATTCCAATTTTGCTCACTCTGCTTCAACCACACTGGGCTTCTTGCTGTTTTAAGCATTTATTGTCTCGGGGTATTTGTACTCGCTGTTCCCTTTGCTTGGAGTACTCTTCCCCTAGCTATTTTTATATATATCTTTGACCTTGTATAGGTCGCTACCTCATCAGTGAAGCCTTCCCTGTTCACCGTCTATGAAACTGCAACCTTGTCCCCCGACTTGCTGCCCTTTACTTGTTCCATTTTGCTTGTTTATGTCTTTTCCAATTAGAAGGTAAGCTCTATACATGTAGAGAGTTTTTATTTTATTGCTATATTCCCATCGTTAAGATGGTACCTGGGACATATTCAGGTTCTCACCTTTTCTTTTGGGATTATTGCAAATATTGTTTATGGCTTGCTTTGCCACTCATTTTGAATGGTGACCCATTTATCAATATTTCCTTTATAGTTGTGCTTTTGGTGTCATACTGGTAGGAATATGTCCTATTCGTAGGAACTCTTTCCTGCCACCAAGGTCTCAGTAAATATGTGTTGCCTGAATAAATGAATACCATTTTCTTGGAAATTTTGCCTCAGATCAAGCTTAACCTTTAGACTGGTGCTTGTTAAACTTTCACGGGAATCACCTGCAGATCTTGTCAATAGAATATGGACTGATTCAGCAGGCCTGGCATTGGGCCTAAGATTCTGCATTTCTCACAAGTTCCCAGGTGATGCTGCTGGTCCAGGGATCACGCTTTGAAGAGCAAGGCAATGCCGTGCTGCATAGGTTTTGGCATACCAGTCATGTCTATTGAGCTATGTATGCTATAAGACACCATTCTCTGAAGCTTGATATATTTTTTTATAAGGTTGTAGTTGAGAATAGTGATTATCCTATCATGCTTTCATTATAAGGATCCCCAAGGGGAATTTCTCTCAGTACTTAGAGTACAGAAATTGTTGTACTCTTCCTGGAAATTGATTTTTTTTTAAATCTTCAGAATATGTCACATAACTGACATGTTTCTCGCTTGAGGCTGGCTACTAGGAAGCCTATGGCCAGAACTGCCCACATAAGCTGGTGTAAAGTGCCTTATATACTTCTGCATACTAGCGTTTAATTTGGGGTTTAAATTTTTTTCTTAGTCTACCCTTTTTTGACTTCCTTCCATCTGATTTTATTGTTTGCATTGATAAGAATCAGAGATGAGAAAACACATGTGTCAATGTACGTAGAGAGACAGCAACAGGAAGAGTCACTCTAACCAAGTAATATCTTTTTGTTCAGTTTGGCTCTCCTGAAAATACTCAAGGGAAGTAGTTTTGATGGTTTGTTAAGCAGATATCCTTGAGCAATGGGGCACTGAAGTCCTATGAAATCATACCATAAAAACATATATTGGGTCCATTCTGCTTTCCAGATGGGTGAAAATGTAGCAGGGAAAGGAATTTAGAAAGAAATGGTGGAGGGATAAAGGGGAGGCCTAGGGACCACGGTTAAAATAATAACTTTGCTGCTGGATGACCTTGGACAAATAATTTAACATGTCGGAGCCTCAATTTCCTCACTTGTGAAATGGATGAATGATAGCTTCCTTTTCACTTAATTCTGCCGTTAATTCCTTCATTCCATGAATGTCAGGTTTTTACACGTGCCAGGCCCCTTGCTAGATGCCAGGACTTAGTAGTGAACAAAAGTCAATATAATTGTGTTGTGGCAAGTGCTCTGAAGGAAGTACACAGGAAATACCTGGGGACAGGGCAGGATAGGAGAGGTGAGGGGTGCTGTTTGGCAGACAGTAGTGAGGAAGACGTCTCTGTGGAGGTGATGTCCTGGTTCATCACTGAAGCCTGAGCACAAAGCTGCTGCTTTAAGAGCAGGCATTCCAGGCAGAGGAGACAGCAAGTTTGAAGCCCCCTGAGGTGGGAATCTGCTTGGAGGTTTCAAAGAAATGGAAGGCTGCCTGCATAATGGGTGCAGAGTGAGCTAGGGCTAGAGGGATGGGAGAGCCCCCAGCCGGGTAGGAGGCTTGAGCCAGCTCAAACCAGATCCTGCAGAGCCAGGTCAGTCAGGAGTTGGGGCTTGTTTCAGGTTTAAATGGTCATGTCTTCATCTTACCTTTAAAAAAGATCACCGGGTTTTCTGCATGGACAGCAGATTGAACAGTCACAAGGGGCACTAGTTTCAGGGGGCCTAAACCCCTTTTGTGCCAAGGACTCCTTTGTAAATCTGGTGACGCCATCGATACCTCTTAGAATATCATTTTTAGGGGCATGAAATCACTTAGGATTACAAAGGAGGCCAGTTATATCGACATTCAGTTACCAAAACGTTTAAAAAGTTGTGATGAGTAGCATTTGTGTTTATTAACACGTTAAATAAGATTTTGCAACAAGCCTAAGGATTATGGTACCTTTGAAAGAGTGATGAGGGTCAATGATATTTTGAGCTGTCTTCAACAACTGCAGTGTGATAGGAATATAGCTGTGATTTTTATAGGTGGCAAAGTCACAAGTACTTGGGTGGTTTGTGGTCTGCATTTATAATGAAAGGAAATGCTAACTTGTTTAAATGAGATTTGAGGAAATACAGATGTGATTTTATTTCCCCAGCCAAAGGGGGCTGGTCTGGAAGTTGCTGTGGTGACTCACTTCAGATAAAGTGCCTAGTATAGTGCTTGGCACACAGTAGCCGCTTAATGGAATCAATGCTGT